TTCACCCGCTAGGCAGATATGCTCAGTACCCCCTAGCCTAAGTTCCCCACCCGCTACTGTAACTAAGTTTACAGCCCACGTTATGGCAGTTCACCCGCTAGGCAGATATGCTCAGTACCCCCTAGCCTAAGTTCCCCACCCGCTACTGTAACTAAGTTTACAGCCCACGTTATGGCAGTTCACCCGCTAGGCAGATATGCTCAGTACCCCCTAGCCTAAGTTCCCCACCCGCTACTGTAACTAAGTTTACAGCCCACGTTATGGCAGTTCACCCGCTAGGCAGATATGCTCAGTACCCCCTAGCCTAAGTTCCCCACCCGCTACTGTAACTAAGTTTACAGCCCACGTTATGGCAGTTCACCCACTAGGCAGATATGCTCAGTACCCCCTAGCCTAAGTTCCCCACCCGCTACTGTAACTAAGTTTACAGCCCACGTTATGGCAGTTCACCCGCTAGGCAGATACACAATACACCCACGTATTACTTATTTTATATTTCCTGGTCTCTCAGGGATATACAATAGCTAATCCCCTTCCCAGGGCAATATAAAACTGACACAAACTTTTAAGCAATACAGGATTTCAAATGGACTTATGAGTAACAAATTTCTAGCCAACTTAAACATGTTTAATAACTTTCCACCCTTTGGTTAAATTATAGAGGAGTGAACCACAACACCTCTTCCGCCTCTGAAAGGATATAGGTCAATATGTCTCAAAGTTCAACACTTCTGACAGCTATGAGTGACTCCCTATTAATTTCTAGCCTTTCCACGGACATGCTTGCACCTCGCGGCTAAGGGCCTGCACAACTAACCACCCTGTGATGGCAGTGGCTTTCCGCATGGGGGTGACCGCCCCCGCAAAATTATAGAGGAGCAAACATACAGCAGCCTCTTTTCCGGCTCGATTAAAGGTTCTGGGCCAATATGTCTGCAATTTAACCAGTACACTCACGTATCACTTATTGTATATTTCCTGGTCTCTCAGGAATTTCTATTAAATAGCGTATCCCCTTCCCAGGGCAATATACAACAAAAACTAGTCACCAAGGGTCTCTATGGTCATGATAGGCCACCCTACCACTAGTGTAATACGCCCTTTTTTTAAAATATATTTCCTGGTCTCTCAGAGATTTTGCCTATCCCTTTCCCAGAGCAATATATATAAACAATTACAAATAAGTTACAAAACGCTACTTATAAGTAATACAGGGTTTCAAATAATAATACAGGATAGAACTGCACAACAACTATTGGGTATGCTCCCCCTTATCCGGACACGTTTAAATACCCCCTAGCTCAGGTTCCCCACCCGCTACTGTAACTAAAATCACAGCCCACGTTATGGAGGTTCACCCGCTAGGCAGATACACCCTAATTCAAAGCATGGAAATATTAAAATCAGTTATAGATGGCTTCTAAAATAATATAAATCTTAATCTGAGCCCCTACACTTTCTTTGTTAAAAATGCTAACTTGTTAAAATATTCAGACTAAATAGGACAAAGGAATTATTTTACCATTTTTTCAGTTCATTTGTTACCAGTTCCTGCATATGTCCAGTATTTCCTTAGTCCTGAATAATAAAGCTGAAAAACACTCCACAAATTGATTGGTTTAGGCAATTACATTTACAAAACAATGCAGTTTATTTTTTCTCATACAGCAAGACTACCCACCCCCAACAAGGACAAATTCTCCCCCAGCTGTAGCTGAAAAGCATGGTCACACAGCTGTTAAAAAGGTGGTCTCTCCTTCATGAGTCAAAATCATATATATATTTATACTAATATTCTGTGTATACGCACACATAAATCTATTATTCACTGAATCTGCTTTACTAAACGTATCTTTTTCTTAACTACTAATTTACTAGACAAATCCATGAATGCCAAACAAATGTAAATTAGTACACAAACATGATCAAATTTAGCAATAAAACCTGGTGAACTAGTTTAGTGAAAAAAGTCTTTTCCTATGCAAATGGTAGCAAACAATGAAACTAGGCCTCAACTCATTCACACCATGTGGTCAATGGTGGATTAAAATCCACATGGTCAGACAAAAAGGTAAAGTATATATAAGTTTTCTCCTATATACAAATGACCAAGGATTGGTAACAAGCAACACAATAATTCATCACTATGTTCTACAGCAAGAGATACATTAAAAACAAATATCTAATCCCTATCTGCATTCATTCCATTACATATTAAATCATCATTCATTTATTCACTTCTATACAGACAGACAATTGACTCTATGTATTAAACAAAATGCATAACTTTTGTATTTTCCCTAATATTCCAGCATAATCCCATATCTTCGTCGCCAAGTGTTATAGTCGTGACTTAAATATGAATATTAATTTAATAATTAATATATAATAATTAAGCAACAAATAACAACATTAATAGAGTTCGGTATTATGGTCGAATATATAATAGGAAATACACAAAACATTGTAGTATTAAATGTATATTTAATATAATTATAATAACAATTAAACAAATGCTAGCAGAATGTCAATTTACCACAATAATTACACAATACAAAACTATAACATTACTTACAAAAGGCTATAACAGTTGCTAGCTGTTATAATAGATTACTTACACGGCTCCAGCCTGTTTGGCTGGAGCTATACACACAGCTACATGTTCAATCAATGCAAGCAAAGGAAAAAGGAGACTGAAAATCCTTCTACTATTTGGTTTTATCCAGTAAGTAGGCTGGCCTGTGATGTCACTGCCAGAAGCACATGAGTTAGCACACTGACCCCTAGTGGTGCCTCTAAAGCATTAAGCTCATTGTGCTTTTTTTTTTATGACAAAAAGTCATTAATTATAAATACCATTACAGAGATTGACAAACTTCCTCAAGTCCAACTCACTGCTAGACCCGCTTCAGTCTGGTTTCCGCGCTAAGCACTCTGTGGAAACGGCACTGATCAAAGTATCCAATGATCTATTCGCTGCAAAATCTCGTGGTCACTACTCTATCCTAATTCTCCTTGACCTTTCTGCGGCTTTTGAAACTGTTGATCATCAACAGTTTCTTCTCATCCTCTGCAATCTCAGTCTACAAGATATTGCTCTCTCCTGGTGCTCCTCCTACCTCTCCCAGCGCTCTTTCAGTGTTTCTTTCTCTGGCTCTGCTTCTTCTCTCCAACTCCTCTCTGTTGGTGTCCCCCAAGGTTCAGTCCTTGGTTCCCTACTGTTCTCCATCTATACTGCCTCCCTTGGTAAACTCATTAGCTCCTTTGGCTTCCAATAAAATTTCTATGCGCATGTCATGCAAATCTATCTGTCCTCTCCTGATCTCTCCCTGTCCATCTTGACTAGTGTCTCTGACTGCCTCTCTGCTATTTCTAACTGGATGGCTGCCCACTTCCTTAAACTCAACTTGACCAAAACGGAAATTCTGGTCTTTCCTCCCTCAAGTGTTGTCTACTCCTGTGTCTGTCTCCCTCCAAGTCAACGGTGCTACCATCAGCTCCACCACCCAGGCTCGCTGCTTAGGTGTTCTTTGACTCCGACCTCTCCTTCACGCCTCATGTTCAGTCTATTGCCAAATCCTGCCGCTTCTATCTCAAAAACATTGCGCGCATCTGACCCTATTTGACGCCAGATGGGACTACGGTGCTGGTCCATCCAACTGTCCTTTCTTGCCTTGACTACTGTAATCTGCTTCTCAGTGGTCTTGCATGCTCCCAACTTGCGCTGTTACAGTCCATAATGAATGCGGCGGCGAGGCTCATCTTCCTGTCCGCCTACACCTCCTACGCCTCACCCTTCTGTCAGTCCCTACATTGGCTTCCTGTAAGATATAGGGCTAAATTTTTAATTCTGGTTCTTGCTTTCAAATACATAATGCTGCTTCCATAATGCTATCCTCACTAATACACCAGTATGTCCTGTCTAGGCTCTTACGCTCTGCTGAAGACTTACGTCTATCTTCTGTCCGTTCTCCCAACTCTGATGCTTGCCTTCAAGACTTCTCGAGGGCTCCACCGTTCCTGTGCAACTCACTTCCCTCCTCCATTAGATACTCACCTAGTCTCCACTCCTTCAAAATATCAAAATTCCACTTCTTCATAAAAGCGTATGAATTAAATTGTTAATAGCTCTCTACTGATTCCTCTCTTGCAATTGTCATTAGCCTAATCCTTACCTTTTGTGTCACTTTACCCCCCTCCCTCTAGCATGTAAGCTCATTGAACAGGGCCCTCAACCACTCTGTTCTTGCAATACCACGCAGGTGTGTCCAACTTGTCTGGTTACAACTACATGTTTGTTCGTCCACCCACTGTAAAGCGCTGCGGAAATTGTTGGAGCTATATAAATAATAACATAATAATAATAATAAATTCATATACATACAGTAACATGAGAAATACATATACAGACTGTAACATGAGAAATACATATACAGACGGTAAAAATAGCACTATGTCCCACCCAAACCAAACCATGGTTACTTTTCTAATCACCTCCTTCAGTAATAAGTTATCCCAAGGCGCTCATTGAACAAGGATGTGGCTAACATTTCAAAACACAGTAAAATCTATTTAAAAAAATAAAACACTTTATTTTTCATTTTGTTCTTTTTTTTGTCAGTTTGTGGTGACTCAAAATTCAAAGGACCATCCTCCATTTCAGAGTACTTTGGAGAGCCAAACATCCAAAATGCAGAACTGGTATGACGATAATATGTATTTAGAGGAAGGTGGTGATGTAACAGAGGAACAGCTAAATCCAACAGAAGGTAACATCATCTATACAGAAATAACCTCTGATAAATGAATTATTTTTTTTCATGTTTGCTTGATTTTAGAAGGGAAATATTGCTGATATTTCCACTTGCTTGAGGATTTTCACCTTGTACTAATACAAATTTCTTGATAGTTTTTGAATAGTGATGTCCCGAACGGTTCGCCGAACGGTTCGCCAGGATGGCGAACATAAACATAAACTTTGACCCTGTACCTCACAGTCAGCAGACACATTCCAGCCAATCAGCAGCAGACCCTCCCTCCCAGGCCCTCCCTCCTGGACAGCTCACTAAGAATGCAGCTTCACAATGAATGTAAAATGGATGCTGTCCAGGAGGTGGGAGGGTCTGGGAGGGAGGGTCTGCTGCTGATTGGCTGGAATGTGCTGCTGACTGTGAGGTACAGGGTCAAAGTTTATGTTTATGTTCGCCGTCCGCGGCGAACCGTTCGGGACATCACTATTTTTGAACATTAATGAAACAAGCTAAGCACCATAAGAGCGCATTGCAGTGATTACAGTGCCCTGGTGTCTGAAATTGTAAGTAGTCAAATAGTTTTTGAACTGTCTGAAATCTTATCTGGGGTCCACCAGGCAACGCTACGTACTGCTGGGCTTAGCTAAGGAGATTCTGGCTCTCCTGTAACTATAGTAGAGATGGAAAGCAGCACCTGGCAATCCCCAAATAAGAAGTCAGACAATTCTAAAAACTATTTGACTACATACAATGTGTAAGGAGGGTGGGCGTCAGGACACTCTTGGCACCATAATCACTACAGCACGCAGTATTGGTTATGGTCCTTGGATTGTTCCTTTAAAGGTATATTCTAAGTACCAAAACAACTGTAGCATAATAAAGCCATTTTGGTGTATAGGTCACACCTCTGCAGTGTCGCTGCTCAATAATCTGCCATTGAGGAGTTAATTCACTTTTGTTTCTCTTTATGCTGCCCTAGCCACAGCTCCCCTGACTATGACTGACACAGCCTGCATAAAAAAAGTAGTTTAATTTTCAATCAGATATTAACCTGCTTCATACATTTTTATCTCCTGCTCTTCAAATTGAACTTTAATCGCAGACTAGAGGCTCTTGCAAAGTCTAGCAAGCTATTGACAGTGCAGGAGATGTAAAATAACTATGCAATAAAGGAAGTGTAAACATTAGATGAATCTAGGAGGCGTGGTTACGGCGCTGACCGAGATGGCCGCATAGAAGGAGAGCTCCGCTCCACCCGACCCTGATAAGCCCTCGTAATAGCTTACCGCACAGCCAAATGGGTCGCAACAAACGCCCGGAGCAACCACAGACCCCCAGGAACCTCCAGCAGGGCCCCCTGGACGGGTTTCTTCACCCACAACCAGGTGCTAGCGGGGAGGGGGGAAGCCCCAAGATGGCGCCGACCACACCGCCGGGGCCGGAAAGATCCGTCTTAGAGAGGATTGAGGACAGGCTGGGTAGTCTGACGGCTTCTATGGCCACAAAAGATGACCTGAAGTCTCTTACCACAGCCATCCAGGACACTCTGAGAGCTGAAATGGCGGGTATCCGCTCTGAGGTTGCATCTCATGTGGGCCGCATAACAAGCATGGAGGAGGCGGCTGAGGCCCTCACGGCGCGCCAAACGTCCGCGGATACAGCAATAGCCCGCCAAGGTACGCTGCTCCTATCAATGAGAAGACACCTCGAGGACCTGGATAATAGGGGTCGGAGGTGTAATATACGCATCCGGGGAGTGCCTGAAGATGACAGTACGGCTGAAAATGTCGTGGAAATACTCACCGAAATCTTCCAGACAATCCTGCAGCCGACATCAGCCGGAACATATAGAATTCGAGCGGGCACATAGAATCACACGACCTAGGTCCCTGGAAGACGGCCCGAGAGATCTCATTTGCTGCCTTCACTCCTTTCCTGTAAAAGACACCATCATGAGGAAGGCCAGGGAAAGACCAACATGGCCCTATCGAAGTGCGCAAGTGGCCTTATATAATGATTTGTCCCCGATCACGCTGCAAGCCCGGCGGGCTCTCCCTCCCGTGACAGCCGCATTGAGGGACCGCAACATATCCTACAAGTGGGGGTTCCCTTTTGCTTTACTGGCCAGGCACCATAACAGCTGGATCTCCATGCGCTGGCCTGAGGATGTCCCGCGGTTCATGGAGGAACTGGGCCTTCCAACACCTGTCGTCCCCAATTGGATCCTGGGATCGACGGCCCCCGTACCGAGACCGCAGAGGATGCCTAGGCGGAGGGAAGCTCGCTCCCCCTCCGCTCACCCGGCCAGACGGCGCCGAAATCCGGCTTCCCCAGAAGAGTGAGTGCGGATCTTTCAGGCGGATATTGATTTCCCTACGCCCTAACGCAGGTGACCCCCCAGTCTAGCTTTGGTCTTATTCCCTCCCCTTTTTTTTTTTTTTTTTTTATTACTCTTGAGAACTTTTGTGGAGACGGAGACACCAACCCCCACGGTCTGTTTGGACATTGCTGGGGCTTCCGGATAAGGTGAGCCACCTTTTGGGGGGGGTCTGGGGGTATTTAAGGGTCCGGGGCACAGGCCCATGGGCGTGCTCCTAATTGCTCTGGCTCCGCCGGGTGACTCTCCCTGGGACTACCCTGCTGCCCTCTTCACCTTATAGAAGCTTCACTGCTGGGAACCGGGCTTAATTGTTTTGGGGAGGGGGGCTCTTCGGGTAAAGGTGAGGACCATTTTGAGCTTCGAACTGCACACCGAGACTCCTGGTACCCACGTTATTAAGTAACCATAATTATAAATGTCTGTTTTTTTTTTTTTTTCTTCTTCTTCCTAATCTAATTGTATATATATTAGCATATACTTAAGTATGTGGGATACGGGGTGGGGGGCTTGTGGGGTGGTTTATTGTGCAACTATTGGTATGTTTCTACTTCTCGATTGGATCCTGTGAGATGGGAATACAGCGGGATAGATTAGTGGCTGGACCCCCCCCACCTCCCGCTCATAGAGAGCTGTACGGCGGTGGCAGTTTTTGGCCCAAGAGAGTCCCTTGACCCACCATATGTGATTTGAGAGGCGTAGGGGGCCAGATGACAGGGGGGTATTATTGGTTGGGGGGTGGGGTGGGAACACCGGGGAATGCTGTTGATATAATGTTGCATCAAGTTTTATTATTGCTGCATGTTTTACCTATGGGACCGTTCTAGCACCCTTTTTCCCTTTTTTTTTTTTCTCATATACTTGGCCCCGTGCTGACCAAACATAGACCCGAGTCACCAACTGACGCTCTAGTGGGAAATGGCAGACTCTTCCCGCCAGACGAGTAGTTAGGGAGGACAACTGTTGACTGACAAAGATATCCCGCAATTAGTCCCCATATGGTCATTATTGAACGTAATGGTATTGCTGCCCCCCCTCCACCCCCCTCACTCCTGCTTCACCGGGACACATACAGCTGAATTTTTGAGATCCAGATAGCAATAGACCGCGAACCTGGGGCGACTCCTCCACCCTGGGGACATATGAGGGACCTGGGGGTTCTGGGACGGGAACAGTAGCTGATGCCTAACCAATCTACCACGCTCCCGAGACAAACTCCAGAGCAACAGAGAGCACCAGACAACTGCAGACTGACCTACTTGGCTCGACACTAGTTGACGGGGGTCGGGTGGGGCTGACGGTTCCACTGTTTGGTTTACCAATTCTCTTGGGCAGAGCCTGACGCGCGCTTCCCACAATACACTCTCGTGCTACGAGTTGGGCAGCCAGGCTGTGGCTGCTCTCGCCCACTGGGCAGGCACCGGGGCGAGGTACCACTAGTACTGGTTGCAGCACGAAACTCACTACTTACACCACTCCATAAGGCACTACACTCGGGATAACCCGACACTAGAGTAGCTGCCCGATACACGGGCTCCAACCTCGTCTCACCACATTGACCCTGGGCGGGCTTCCTCTCAGAGATCCGGAGTCCAAACCTACCTTCCTAGAGCATCTGCCATTATCCTTCCTCTCTTCCCATTTCTCTCTTCCCTCTCCACCTCCTTTACCCTTCCTGCATTGATCTGTGTCAAGGCCGCGTGACCTGACGGTTTCCTCCAGGGACATAGGAAATCTTAACACAGTGGGGATATAAAGGTATACTTGGACCATGCTTTGGGAATGGCATACCAAAATACACCCCTAAGGGTCCTTACACAAAACTGCAGAGGCCTCAATATACCTGAACGCAGATCACACCTCTTGAGGGAACTGAAGAAAAAGCACGTATCAGTGGCTATGATCCAAGAAACCCACTTCAAAGAGGGCGCAGCGCCTCCACTAAAAAATAGACACTACCTTGACAACTTTTTCTCCAACCATTCGACGGCCCACAAAGCTGGCACAGCCATCATCCTGGCTGCCGAGCTTGAATTCAAGGAACTTGAACGCGCGCAAGACTCCCAAGGACGATACCTCTTCCTAAAAGGTATCATAGCTGATAAGGTATACACCCTGGCCAGCATTTACGTCCCCAACCGACGGCAAGCACCCTTTCTTCGCAATACGCTCCACATCCTGGAGGACTTTACGGATGGTATCCTGATCGTGGGGGGAGACTTCAATGTGCCCCTGGACCCAGTGCTAGATTCCTCGACGGGACATAGCTGCATCCCGCAGAGCAACATACGTTCTATTCGGAGATCACTGGAAGACCTACGATTGGCTGATTGCTGGAGGACACTTAACCCATCGGTGAAGGATTACACCTACTACTCCGCCCTCCACAACCGGTATTCGCGCATAGACTACCTCTTCATCCCACAAGAGGGACTTTCCCGCCTCCTTAGATCCGACATAGACCCAGCTACGTGGTCAGATCACGGCTCGGTTTGGATGGATCTAGAATCCCCCTTGTTCCGACCATCGACCTGGACATGGAGACTCAATGAGGCGCTGCTGCTGGACTCCACTACAAAAGACCAAATACATCAGGAACTGGAACACTACTTCAGGGAAAATGACGTGCCTGACGCATCCCCGATATCCGTGTGGGAGGCCCACAAAAGTGTCATTCGTGGTATATTTATCCGCTTGGCGTCGCAAAAACGAAAAGCAAGTATGACTGAGATGACCGACTTATATCAGAAGATAACTTCGCTGGAGAGCCAACACAAACGGTCACAACTGACCGGGGTCTACGGGGAACTGATGGAACATAGGAGGAAACTTAAAGACCTCATCACACGAAAACACCTTCGCAGTCTACAACGCACGAAAGGATTCTACTATGCCCACGCTAATAAGGGGGGGAGATACCTGGCTAGGCTGCTCAAGGGCCCTATGCCCCGCAGGCAAATACGACAACTACGACTGGCCTCGGGTGAGGTGACCCCCTTCCCACAGAAGATAGCTGATGAGTTTCGGACCTTCTACCAAAACCTTTATAACTTATATCCTCCCCATCGGACAACGCTCGAAGCAAGCCACGACACACGAATAACAAACTATTTGTCCGACACGATCACTAACGCAATCGGCCAAGACTCGGCGGCCGAGCTCGACACACCGATTAGCACGGAGGAGCTAGCGGCAGCCCTTAAGGTATCCAAATCGGGCAAGACCCCAGGTCCGGACGGCTTCTCGACTGGTTACTATAAGAGTTTCTCCAATCTCCTTCTACCGTGGTTGACCAAAGCGATCAACGCGGTGGGTGAAGGCGGGAACCTGGGCGCGGAGTCCCTGGCAGCGACCATTACGGTTTTGCTTAAGCCGGGAAAGGACCCACTACTCTGCGGAAGCTATCGCCCAATTTCCTTGTTGAACGTAGACGCCAAGTTATTCACCAAGGTACTTGCAAGCAGACTCAACCACCTCCTACCGGATCTGATTCACGTAGACCAGACTGGCTTCATCCCGGGACGGGAGGCTAGGGATAGCACTCTGCGGCTGTTCTCCGTCCAACAACATGCCAGAGCAACAAAAACCCGGCTACTCCTCTTATCAACTGATGCGGAAAAGGCATTTGATAGAATCGACTGGACGTACATGAAGGACACACTACATCGAATGGGATGTGGACATAGGTTCCTCACTTGGATATCAGCTTTATACAGTAAACCACACGCGAATGTGAGAGTAAACGGGTCCACGACTGCCGACTTCACGATAAGTAATGGCACCCGTCAGGGTTGCCCACTCTCGCCACTTCTGTTCGCAATGTCATTAGAACCACTACTCCAGGCGATTCGTTCAAACCCTGACATTCAGGGCTATAACTGGCGAGACACACACCATAAAGTAGCCGCGTACGCTGACGACCTCTTGTTTTTTGTGCAAAGCCCTAGGACAACATTACCCTGCCTGCTCTCGGAATTCGACAAATTTGGTCAAATCTCAGGTTTCAAACTTAACCTCTCAAAATGTGAAGTCTTGAACATCACGATTCCTTCCGAAGAATACGCATCCCTCGATTCACAATTTCCTTTCCGTTGGTGTTATGGTAAAATGAAATACCTGGGAATCTGGGTGGCCACGGCCCCAGACGATATATATCAAATCAACTTTACTCCCCTCATGAAGTCAATCGTCACGGACTTGAATAGATGGTCGTACCCTCACATAACATGGCACGGCAGAGTGGCAGTACTCAAAATGAATATCTTACCGAGAATTCTCTACCTTATGCAGACAATCCCATTGGCCATACCAAGTATCTTCTTTTCCTCTCTGAAAACGGCTATAATCAAATTTGTATGGCGCGGCGATCGCTCCAGAATCCGATATGACATTCTCTGCCGGCCAAGAAATCACGGAGGACTCGCACTCCCGGATATCAAGAAATACCATCAAGCCACGATGATGCAACGGATACTGGACTGGCACCAGGACCCCACAACGAAACAATGGGTAGAACTTGATAAAGGCCTACTCGGACCATCACTTGAGATGGAGATATGGGGAGGTGTGAGGGGTCAGGTGTCCAACGAAAATAGAGGGGGCCTGATACGACATACGCTGCTCGGCTGGAGGTCGCTGAGGAACCTGGGCCACATCTCGCCTACCCCCAGCCCCATGATTCCGATCACGCATAATGTGACTTTGGGAGGCGGACTACCATCAGGGGCATGGCCTATCGTGGGCACTAGGGACTATGTCCCCATCTATCAAGTTCTTGAAGGGGGTAGGCTACGGGACCTGACCACTTTATTGGGGACAGAACCTAGGACCCCTCTTGCGATCCTCAGATACCTTCAATTACAACACTACTATAACTCGATGCCGCATAATGATCGCCTGCATCGCGACCTCACCTGGTTTGAAGGCCTATGCATCCGGGGCACCCCACTAGACCACGCAATCTCGGCGATGTACCAACACTTACTTATAGGGGATATACCTCAGGCCTCCACCTTTCGCCGTCAATGGGAGGAACAACTCGGAAAGACACTCACACAAGCACAATGGGACACGGCATTACTGTGGCAGCAGAAAAGCTCAATGAGTTCGTACTACCAGGAAGTTAACTACAAATTGCTCTCATTATGGTACAGGACCCCGATATTGTTGCACAGGATCTTCCCATCAATCACCCCACTGTGTTGGAGATGCCAGGCAGAACGCGGCACACTGATACACATATGGTGGGAATGTAGGGACATCGTTCCATACTGGACGATGATTAAGGAAGCGATAATTGACATCCTGGGAGACATCCCGGAATGGAGCGCGGAGCTAGCCCTGTTGCACATCTCGACGCAACCCATTAGGACGTACAAAAGATCTATATTACGCCACCTGTTAAACGCGGCTAAAGCTAACATACCGGCACTTTGGAAACAACGCAACATACCGTCGAAGACAGAATGGATCCGCAGGGTGGAAGACATATATGGGGCGGAAGACATTCACGCCACCCTGACCGACCGTAAAACGAAACATACGGAGCTGTGGCTCCCTTGGTTCCTATTCATTACCCAATACAGACAAAGAGCAGTTCCTCCAGAACCCACTAATGGAGTGACAGCAGACGCTGGTTCCACTTGACGCAGACTAACCCACCCTACCTCCCTTTCTTTTATACCTATTCCTTCCATATCTTTCTTCACCTTTGCAATCACTTAACTAATGGGCTCTCGGGGCTGAGGGAGGGGGCTTAGGGGGAAATATTAGTAGACGTGCAATTTGCTACACCCTCACGTCACGTATGCTTTTAGTCCTCGCAGGATCTGAACGATAAATCATGGCTTGGGGAACACGAGATATTCTTAGATACACATACTACTGTGGCACAAACCGAAGTGAGGGACAATACGTGTTCATCACTTATGGTTGTGCACCGAAAAGACCCACTTCACGCTCACCAAATGCTAACGCTGGTACACACACCAATGACGCAGCACATTCACTCACATTGACACTCGCGTTGTCAATACCAACGACATGTAACTCGCAACACGGGATATTAGCGTATTGCAGGCTCTGCCAGGATTGGTAACGACGCTGGCCTTCACGCATGCTAGCCACGAACTGGGAATACTCCCACTATTTTTGCGTGCTAGGATACACCTAGCGACACCAACACGGACCTACGGGCCCGAACCTAGCGGGAGCCAGTGGCTTGCCTTTCATACAATGACTTCAATTAACCGTTTGAAAGACCAGGTAACACAGTGTTATGTGGCTCCCGCCATAAATAGCTGAGAACGACCTCTCCCGACGCAACTCCCGTTTACCCTTTACGCACATATTGGCTAAGGGAAGCAACCTGTTTGTTACAGCCGTTCCATTTTATATAATACTACTGTTTCCCCTCGTTGTATAATTATATTGCTTTTAAAATGTCGACCGCATACTCACCCTGCATGAAGACCTACGAGTCTCTCTAGGGGAAGTTATGTGGAGATTTGCATATCTCATTGTATTCTATTTTGTGTACTAATATACTATAGAAACCTGCGAGTTTCACATTGTTTACCCACTCACTGCTTTCTACGTAGTGACCAATCTCAATAAAAAGATTTTCAAAAAAAAAAAAAAACATTAGATGAATCTACAGGAAGTGTTTAGAAAAGCTGCACCAGTTACATACAGGGAGGTGTGATAAAGACGCATAAACAAAGTTATTTAACTCCTAAATGACAGAGAATTGAGCAGTGTCACTGCTCAATAATCTGCCATTGAAGAGTTAAACCACTTTTGTTTCTGTTTATGCAGCCCTAGCCACACCACTCCTCGCTGTGTCACACACATCCTACATGAAAGAAAATGGTTTTATTTCATCAGATCTAACACAGTGTATTTATTTTAGAAGTGCTAATTTCCTGCTTTGTTAACAACGCATAACAGAATTATACTGCCATGCAATATTTAACAAACAGGGCCTGTTTCCCTTAACAAAAAACAACTATCTCTTTGCAGAGATAATAAGTGATACTATATGGTGCCTAAAACAGTCAATCTAAAATACTGAAAGAAATATGGTATAGACTATATACCAACAAGTGGAGCGCTATATAAATGTAAATATAAAATAGTAGAGGGGTGCACTTACCCCATTAATGAAATAACACACTTGGAAATATGTACTTGGGGAAACATAGAGAAAAACAAAGAAATATATAGTGTAGATGGTTTCAAGTAATGATGGGTGGTAAGAGTAAGTAACTAGAACCACTCACATGGACTGGAGCCTATGTAATATTGGCTCCATAGGATAATCATTTTTGCTCTTTGGGCAGCAACACACCCCTTGTTTAAAGATGTTCCTCCGAAGATATAAAACAAGAAAGAATAGACCAGATGTGCAGTATTGTATTAAATGCAATTATTATACTTATAGTAAGTATTGTGCTCACCTTGATTAGAGCCTTAAGTTCTCGGCTCTTAGGGTGATCAGCAGTGTGCCAATTTCCTTGGGATGGCACTCCCCAATGAAGTTCCTGAAGGCTTTTTGGTACTGAATGGAATAAGTTTCAAATTAAAAACAAAGTTGTACTAAATATAAAGAATAAAAAGTCCAAATAAAAGTCCAAAATCAGCCAAAACGCGTTTCACTCTTCTGTGAGCTTTCTCTGTCAGCTGTAGCTGTTTCCCTGCTGGTAACATAGGCACCCCTGATATCTAATTAACACCTCAGTTACAAAAAAACAACCATCTCTTTGCAGAGATAGTATCAGATGTATCAGGTACGTCCAACAAAAAAACGGTTGTTAGCGACCTCGGACGTACCTGATACGTCTGCGGCAAAATTAAGCGCTGGAAGCAAACGTGATCGCTTCCAGACCCTCTAACGGTATTGCAGCAATGCCTCAATATCGAGGCATCCTGCAATATCTCCCCTGACTGCCCGACCGCCAGGTGATCGCTCCCCTGGAGAGATCACTTCTAGATTGCTCTCGTGCCGCAGTGTATCAGAGCATCGGAAGCCATCGGGGAGGCTTCCGATGCGCTGCCTGTGCTGAGTGCCTTGAGGGGTTGAGGAACTCAGTGAAGAATAAATAAAATATTTAGAAAAATCAATTAAAATAAAATATATGTATTAACCATCCCCCCACCCGGCCATGGGGATTCCAATATGGCACTGCCTTTCTTCTGGGGGTGTCTCTAGCCTGAGGCTTCTGGGGGTGTCTCTATTCTGCCACATTACAGAGGCAGGCTAGGGTCATCCTATCAGAGCTTGGCCCTATAATAATATTCATTGTTACTATGATCCCCATTTGTCTGGTGAGGTCAATATAAGTAAATATTGACTCTGATCAGCGTGGATCTCCCTCCCTCTCTTTGCTTGTGTTTTAGTGAGAGAGATCTGTGTTTTAGGTAGAGCGATTTAGGTAGTTTTAGGTAGGGATTTGTAAAATTGTGAGACCCAAAGGCTCTTTTCAGAGCCATTAACCCCTATCTTGCCAGTTATCATCTTAATAACTGGCTCTTGCACAGCAGCACTTATTTTGCTGTCTGTGAATTGTTTAAGGGGTTAATTTTTTTATTGGTAATTTTTTTTATTTGACAGATCACTAAATAAAGTGATTGTGATCATGTCACAGAGGTTACAGAGTCGTATAGTGGAGAGGAGGCGTATGCCATCCTTGCGTTAGAATCTGACGCGTCTATGTCTGACTCCGACCCTGATTTTGACCCTGCCAGGTGCTCAGATACATCACTAGATACAGTGTCTGCTGCTAGTGATGTATCTAGTTAAGATGCATCTGTAGCTGCTAGTCCCCCTGCCAAAAGCAGACATACTGCTTCAGCTGGCAGTGCTGCTAAGGAGTGGATAGCGCCTCATCGCCGGAGGCCAGATATTCCACCCTTCACCGCAAATCCTGGCATCAATGTGGATGTCGCAGGATTTAGCCCCCAAGAGTTTATGGAGGTGTTTCTTGGCAATGATGTATTAGGGAACATTGTCACCCAAACTAATTTATATGCCCATCAGTTCCGTGCTGCAAAGCCTTACTCTTTTTTGGCAAAGCAGCAATGGGCCCCCATCGATGTGCCAGAATTAAAAAAATTCTGGGCATTGACTATGCTAATGGGCATCATAAAGAAGCCCTTCATCCGCTCCTACTGGAGCAGTAGCCCAATCTGCTCTACCCCATTTATTCCCAGTGTATGTTGAGGAAGAGGTATGAAATGATCCTACATTTCATGCACTTCAGCGACAACAGCCTGTGCCCCCCTAGGCAGCATCCCCAGTTTGACAGGCTGTATAAAATCCACCCCCTGATTACCCACTTCGCTGCCAGGTTTGCAGTGGCTTATACACCTGCAAGGAATATATGCGTGGCTGAATCCCTGATGAAGTATAAGGGGAGGCTGGGATTCAGGCAGTATATTCCTTTCATGCACTCCAGGTATGGTGTAAAGATGTATAAGCTCTGTGAGAGCAAGACTGGGTATACTCAGGCTTTCTGGGTGAATGAGGGAAAGGATAGCAACCTCCAGGTTGCCCAGAACATATGGGAACCAGTGGCAAGATTGTCTGGAACCTGATAGGGTACCACTTGTATAAAGACAATTTTTTACAAGTGTCCCTTTGTTCAAGCTACTATATTGTTTTGATACAGTAGCTTGTGGTACAACCAAAAAGAACCGCGCAGGTTTCCCAGGACAAATTGCACGCACCCGACTACAAAGGGGGACGACCTCAGCTCTGCGCCCAGAGGAGCTGTTGGCAGTTAAGTACAGAGACAAGAAGGATGTGTACCTTCTTACCACCATCCACACTGAGAGGACTGTGGAGGTCTCTGTACATGGCAGAGCTGAGAGCACAAGGAAGCCAATAGGCCTATAACCGGCATATTGGTGGGGTTGATCTGGCAGATCAGCTGCTGCAGCCCTACCTAATTATACAGAAGACAAGGGCCTGGTACAAAAAGATTGCAACTTACTTAATGCAGATTGCAATCCACAACGCTTTTTTTTGTTGTGCAAAAAATCAAACCCCGGAATGAAATTGACTTTTATACAGTTTGAACCCCACATCACGCAAACCCAAGAATATTACTGAACTGGAGGCCATTGATCCTAAGCAATGGGCTAAGATTCCTCAGGAATGCTGTCAGAAGCTGGTGTCTGACTATGCATCCCGTTTGCAACAGGTCATAAAGCAAAAAGGTGCACTATTAAGTTCTAAAAATATTTACCTTGAAATGGTGGAATAATTTTGAGACTGGAGAAGTCATTATAAGTTGCATTTTTACTTGAATATGAGGTGGGAAACCACATGAAGCATTTGTTGTGTTGAGCTACTTCAATTGCTTTTGTTTGATTTTTTTTCATTGCAAACAGCTGAAAGTCTGTAAATTTTGACAATAAGCAATTTTTAACAATAATCCCCATTTTCAATGGGGGGTTGGGTAACTTTGATTACAACTGTAATGTAAGAGTCCCCAGTGGGGTCCAGATTTTCAAATCATTTGCATTTATGGAGTAATTTTAAATAGAATAAAATGCCACAAAATGCACTATATACCCATTTTCAATGTGCCTTTTTTTAAACACTGTGCTGGGCTGGTTATAAATTCAGCCCTGTATTTTCACAAAAGCATGACAAAGGTATGCAAATAATATATTCTGGAGATATAGCTGAAAACAATTTAGTAATTTTTTTTTTTTATTACAGTAGCACATATCAAGTTTACAAAATAAAACAATAAATTGCAATGTGTATGTATAAAAATGTAAAAATGAAATAATGCCATAAACTTTGAAAGAAATTGTTGCTAAAATTGGCTGAATAATAAGACTCAAAATATACCTAATGAAATAACCTGTGGTGTCTACTTTCACAAATGATATGCATTTATGGGGTAATTTAAACAGTCAGACTTCAAAATGTTCCAAAAATGTGGGGTAGGCCAATCAAATACATCAATCACAATTCTAATAGTAAAAATTGAAATTGAAATATGGCACTGTCACTTGCAAGATAGTGCCAAATTGTATACACTGGGGGTTTAATCACAGTGGCACATAACACATTTGCAAAATGCCCAGCAAACATGTAAAGTGTGAGCAAATAAGAAAAAAAAAATGAATGTGAAAAATAAAGCGGAACTGTCAAAATAGAATCTTTATGAAATACTCATTATGACTGTGTTGGAATTTCACTGAAATTACAACCAAGTCAAGAGATATACAGAGACAAATTAGGGCCTACTTTGTCCCTGTATTTCTCCTTCACCTGGCTATCTTAGAATCAGGGTGGTGTCTAAGTGTCAGTCCCCACAGTCGTCACCAGTGACATTGGCTGTGTCTATTGTGGAAGTACAGCAGTGACGTCATCTTCTGGCACTGAGTTGAAGAGGAGTGTTTTGGGGGTTTTTTTGTGTCAAAAGATGAAAATTGCGGTTGAACACATACAATGTAAAAATTAAAAATGGCTTGTGTCCTTAAAGGGATCGTATATTGCCAGGTAAGCAAAGCCATTATCCTGGCACTATAAGGTTAATAGGTTCCTCTCCTCCCCCCCATCAGCCACTTACTTGAATCGAGCACCGACGTCAACCGGCGGGGAAAACCTAATGCGCATGTGCGGTAGTGTTTTCAAAATCTGATGCTGCAGGTCCACAGAGGGCAGACTTAGAGCTGCAATGTAATCATTGCAGTTCTCTGGAACTGCAATGTTTTACATTGCAGCACTAAGTGCAACAGGGACACAGCACCCAGACCACTTCAATTAGCTGAAGTAGTCTGGGTGCCTACAGTGTTCCTTTTAAGTGAAAGACAAAGAAAGTAAGATGAGCCCACTTATTTAGATTTGTTGTTATGTAGTTTAACATTTATATGAATGTAATTTAAAAAAAAAGATTCTGTTACAAATAATTTGATGTGAATAATACATATATTTTTTTTTATTTTTTTTTATCAGCAGTAGATAAATTGAATCTTATGCCGCATGAAATTATAATACCAAAGCAGTTATCTGCAGATGTGAAAGATAATTCTGTAAGTTTAAAATAAATTAGCATATTTCTGAAAATGTATATTTGGTAAAAGAAAAAAATCAATTGATAGTTAAAAAGTATTTGATGATTGCCTGCTGATTTTGAACATTTGCCCACTAACAAAGAAATGATCAGCCTATAATTTTAATGGTAGTTGTACTGTTTTTTATTTTATTTTATTTTTTAAATATTCTTTATTTTTGTGTGCATTAATAAACGTACAAGAATATGTAGACATTTAAGTAAGAGTAAATTCCAGAAAATTGGTAGTCAAGCTTCACATTAAATGTCAAAAATCATTGCACATTTTTGGGGGCGTGGTCTGGCAGCCAACTTGAATGGCTGCATAACTTGACAGCTCCAGTGCATCCATCCGCAATCCCGCACCTGAAATCAGCATTGCAACTCAAAACTTACCCCTAGATGTCCCAAATAGGATCTGGAGCTACACCACGCTGAAAGAAGTGAGGAGAGAGACAAGATCCATCTCCATTAGTGGCTGACATGTTCGCGTCCTCGCGATCCTCACAGGCAGCACAAGATGGCCGACGGGCGGGCTCGCGTGGCTCCCAGTCTCCGGCCTCCAACACAGAAGGAGAGCTGGTGGACACAGAACCAGGCAACACTACACAAATCCTGCAGAAACTGTCGGAGGTCCGGTCATTCCTGGCAGGTGAAATTGCTTGCAACTCACAGGAGGTTAAGGCCGAAATCCAGGCTCTGGGGGCACGCACATCAGACCTAGAGCAACGGGTCGTAGCTGTGGTGCAGGCACACAACTCGGTGGTTCAGCACTTCAACTCTATGGAACAACAGCTCAATGAAGATGCTAGTGGTGGACCTCAACAATTACTCAAGACGGAATAATCTGCGCATAAGGGATCTGCTGGAGACCACAAACGACTATCCCCTGATACAGAAAATGGAGGACTACTTCCAAAACCTACTGACTGACATCCCAAAAGAGAGATGGGCGATAGATAGAGTGCAAAGGGCTCTGCGTGTCCACCGGACGAAGATGCAGGTACCAAGAGACATCATAATCCGCTTCCACTACTATGCCACGAAGGAAGCCATATTACAGTACAACAGAAACCACGAGCTCACCTACCAAGGCAAGGCCCTCTCCCTGTTCCAGGATCTATCACCAGGCACGCTCCAAAGACGATGCGACTGGAAGCCACTGGCAGACCTGCTTCGACAGCATGAGATCCGCTTCATCTGGGGGCATCCTTTCAAGGTGGTGGCCTTCAAGGCAGGAATAGCCTGCACCTGCTTACTGGGCAACAACCCAGCAAAGTTTCTCTGAGACCTCTCCATAACACCCCCATCAGATTTCGCCTTGCCGGGACAAGTGCGCCAGGGCCTCACAGCGCTCCCACTTGACTGGTATGAAGTAATGGCAGCTGCCAGCCATGATACATGAAAGGGCAACCAGGACTGACACACAGTACCGGTGATCCACAAGAGACTCTGGCACAATAACACATGCCACGACTGAGGCAGTCAAGTCTCCCTGGGGTGGTGGGGGAGATGATACAAGGCACTATATAAAACAGTTAACAAGTCCAATGTAGACTCGTTAATAGCAGTTAAGGAATGAGAGGAATGGGGTGCATGTGGCGTGAGTTAAACCTTGCCGTAAAAGTTCCTGATGGGCTTGTGAAACCCCTCCGTAACTAGATCTACCAGACCTGACCCAGGGGGAGAACCCGGTAACACACACAAAGGTTAACGGGGATGGTACATAGGGCTATGACACCAGTAATTACCCCCGAAAGCACGATAACACCCAAGGCCCTAGCCCACGTGATCCTGATCCGCTAACCCTCTTTCCCGGGACCCCCTTTACCCGCACACTATATCTTCCGGCCGGGAGGAAGGCCATATGGAAATAGACACCCCACAATTGGTCCCCCTGTTCGAGGGGCCGAGTCCCCCAGCGGCACACTTTGCACTGTTTCCCCAGTACCTTCCTAACATGGTTTACATAAAACATTGTCCCCACAAAACAAAAAAAGACAAAAAAATTAAATACAAAAAATAAATAAATACGAATTTAAATAAATAATTTAAAGAAACAAAAAGGGGGAAAAAAAACAAAACACTTATATTCATCAATTCAACACAGACAACAAACCCAAAGGGGGACTACATAAGCTACCAAATATGAAATAAAACACCCAGGGCACGACAGGCTCTATCCAAAGCCGTGGGAGGGAGGAGTGGCTATCCATAACACTTCCGCACTGACGACCCAGCCATGTCGCCCAACCGGAGAACTACAGCCTTCACTGGAGCACTTGACTTCCAGGGCGCTGCCCAGTCTACTCCCCCTTTAGCCAGACCCGTATAGGTTCCACCACGGGGTACCCCACTCCCACACGGCGACTTAGCACAATTGACCCAAAATGGGGAGGGGAGCAGATGGAAATTCGGAGGTCAGACTACCGACCAGATTGTACATAGTTGTCAAATCCTTTATTATTACCGTGTTCATGGGACAGTTGCGCGATGCAGCACAGTGATACTGCTGCGGTGAGTCGCCAACCCTGAAGAGTGAACCTGCTTTCGCCAATCGGGGAGGGGGGGGTGAACACCCCCAACCTAATTTGGCACAAAGTAAAACTAGATTGTTCTGTTACTGTTTATATTTATGGTTAATGTATTTGAACTCTCTAACTTTCTTTTTCTCTCTCCTGCTCATACTCTGTGATGATCTCCATTCCCAGATCTATACACGGCTGCCACCCGTGTCAACCGGGTGGGGGGGGACTGGTCCTACCCCAGACCTGGCCCATGCTACATCCCAAGGTTACTATATAGGGGCCCTCAGGAATGACACCATCGCCACAAAAGCGAAACTACACACACTGCATAATGGCTCTGAAGGTCCTGTCACTTAATGTTAAAGGACTAAACTCCCCAAATAAACGCAGGCTGCTCCTGAGAGACATAAAAGCCTAAAAAGTTGATATTGCATTCCTACAGGAGACACACCTCCCCAGGTTCGGCATCAGTCAGATTAACTGACAAGACATATACAACGGTACATGAGGCCCGAACAATGCGCAAGCGAGCCGGTGTGGCAATCCTGCTCCATAAACGGAGCCCACTCCAAATAACGGTCACCTAGGTTGATCCAGAGGGCCTTACATTTACATTGGGGGCACTCTCTTTAACACTAAAATACATATCCTCAACGTATATGCTCCTAACAAGCCCGATTCCCTGTTCTGGTCTAAGTTAGAAACACTGGTGGCCGGAGTGAGGGGAGGAGTACTTATAGTCGGAGGAGACTTTAACGCGGTGCCATGTCCAGCAGTTGACCGAAGCTCAAAACCATCATTGGGGGGAGGGCAAGATAAATTACTCCACACGTTCTTGACACACACTGGACTACTAGACGTATGGCGACTACAGCACCCAGACATGCAAGACTTTACATTCTACTCAGCGCCCCATAATACATACTCAAGAATAGATAATATATTTCTTAATGGGACGGGGATGAGTAAGGCAATTCACACGGAAATAAACAATATTAGATCACGCTGACATAACGGTCACCCTAGGCAAACTACAAAATAACTCCAACTGGACATGGAAACTTAACACTAACCTCCTCCACGATGCCACCATACAGGAAACGACCCGACTAGCTATCAAAGAGTATTTTGAGCTCAACGCAAACCCAGAAACGAACCCCACTATTATATGGGCGGCTCACAAGTCTGTCCTCCCTGGACACTTGATAAAAATAGCCACACATAAAAATCACACTAAAACAAAATTATTACTAGAGTTATAATCAGCGCTACGGAAAGCTGAACAGCAACATAAAACCAATACAAAATTAAGGGAACTTAACGCCCTCACTCTCAATAAAGGAAATATCCCTAGAAGAAGTGTCCCGTTCGCTCCTATGGTCCAAAAGACTATTCTATGAGAAAGCAAATAAAAATGGACACCCTCCTGGCCAGATCTTACGGCCAAGAATGGGACGCAAAACCATAACAAAAATACGTACCGAAACCAATACAGTAGCCACAACACCAGATGCTGTTAAAGCACCACTATAGGCACCCAGACCACTTCAGCTTTACTGGCTTTGCATCTTTGCCTAAGTTGTGTTCTAAGCCATTGTATACAGCAAACACAGACTAAAAGGAATCCATGTTTAAAATGGAATGAGGCAAAAATGTGATTCTTTGTTAAGCTAATTTGCATATGCCCACCCTGAATCCTTTGCGGTAGTAACATCACTACAGATTTGTGATTTCTGTAGGAAAAGCAAGTCTTATGGCTTGACTGGTGTGCAGATTTTTGTTTAACATTGTATTAACAAAGCGGACTAATAACAAATCCAGCCGTGAAGAAAATATTCATATGGTTTGTAGATATGTTACAATTCTGTTTTCTTCTAAATGTAATTTTTTACTATTGAAGACTTGCTAAAATTAATTACAATCATATTTTGAATTTTCAGGAAATGGTGCTTTATTCTTTACAAATTGAAGGAAAGTCTTATACATTGTCTTTAAAGAAACTGTAAGTTATCAATATTAGTAGTTTGGTAAGGTAAACTATAGGATACTTTTTTTTTATTTAAAAAATATAATTTCTCATTGGTTGCATATTAAATTATATAAAATACCATTAGAGTTGAGCATATGTTTTATGACAAAACTTATTTTATAAAGTAAGAGAAAGTGAAATTCTCATGTCTAGCCACCTCTAAGTATTTGTAATGATTCCTTCTTTCCAATTTGTATCTGCATACATGTGTCCCAGTGCTTCAGATATCCTGCATGCCATAGATGCCATAATTTCTTTCTTTCTGACTGTGACAATACAAGTATATACCTGTCATATAGATGTAATTCCTTCTAATGTTTGAAGATATAAATAAGAAAAAAATATATACCTGTCATATAGATGTAATTCCTTCTGTTTGAAGATATAAATAAGAAAAAACAAAACTACACAAAAAAGCTAACTTAAATCTATGAATGTTAAAAAATATAGCTACTAACAAAACGTCCCTGCAACAGAACTATATAATCTTGACTCTCCAATTGATGTCATTCACACGTTTCTGGAATTCCATAATCACTCTGCCTGCACTGTGAGAAGTTGTCTTTACAACTCTCCTAGACAATAAGAACTTTTAATAGTCTTAACCCCAAAGGTCATGCAGGAATAAGGAGATGCATTTAATTGTCCTTACCCATGCATTTTTTTAGAGTCATATTTTGTTGTCGGTTATTGGCAGATTACTGAAGATTCGGTCTTTTGTTTTTCCCAGGGGACAATTTCTTATCCCCTTCTGGTTAATCGGGGCTCCTACATACCTCAAAGATAATTTTAAATACTGCTGTGGAAAATCTTTAGGCAGGTGTAAAAAAAAATATTTAAAGTAAATAAGGAAGTTGAGTTGAGAGTGTGGCCATGGACAGATCTAGGGACTGAGTTGGGATGATTCATTTTAGGTGG